ATATGAGCCAACAGTGTGCCCAGGTGGCCAAGGGGGCCAACGGCATCCTGGCCTGCATCAGAAATAGTGTGGCCAGCAGGAGCAGGGAGGTGGTTGTTCCCCTGTACTTGGCACTGGTGAGGCCGCACCTCGGGTACTGTGTTCAGTTTTGGGCCCCTCGCTACAGGCAAGACATTGAGGTGCTGGAGCATGTTCAGAGAAGGGCAACCAAGTTGGTGAGGGGCCTGGAGCACAAGTCTTATGAAGAGCGGCTGGGGGAACTGGGCTTGTTTAGCCTGGAGAAGAGGAGGCTGAGGGGAGACCTTATCGCTGTCTACAACTACCTGAAGGGGGGTTGTAGTGAGGCGGGTGCTGGTCTCTTCTGTCAGGTGGGTGGAGATAGGACAAGAGGAAATGGTCTCAAGTTGCAGCAAGGGAGGTTTAGGTTGGATATTAGGAAAAATTTCTTTACTGAGAGGGTTGTCAGACATTGGAATAGGCTGCCCAGGGAAGTGGTGGAGTCACCATCCCTGGAGGTATTAAAAAAGCATGTAGACAAGGCACTTCAGGACATGGTTTAGTGGGCATGGATGATGGTTGGACTCGATGGTCTTGAAGGTCTTTTCCAACCTAAATGGTTCTATATATGTTTTACTCATGAGGAAGATGGAAGTAAATAGCCAGTATGATAATTTTAAGCACTTAATACTCTATAGTGCAAGACTCTGCCTGCTGGAACAATATTTTGCACAACTTAAAACCTTTCATTCAAAGCCCTCAGCACATTACAGTGGGAGTTTAACACTATTTTGAGGCTTAAGGCACAATGAGGTTCAATAATCTGGCTCTGTCACTGGGTCTTTTATATCTATGAAAATATATATTGATAAATATATATAATTATGTATATATATATAAAAACTGCTGGTTTATATATGTAAAAACCCAGCAGTTGCTCTTGCAACATTTTATATATATATACGTAACCTTCGTTCCAGCAGGTTTTTTTATTTTTGAGACTTTAAACACACATTCAATGACTGCATGAACTACTGAGGCTGAAGTATCAATCAAGGGGACACCTCCCCCCAGCACGTTACAGATGTGTGCAATAAAGGCAACATACCTCATTCAGTGAATCCTCCCAAGATGAATCACAATGACTGCCATTTGCCTGGATGTCTAAGATGATACTAGGGATCCAATTTCCTGGAACGATGAAGCTAGTGATCACTTGACATTGAATGAATGAGGAAAAAGGTAAACAGGGATGTGAGTTGTTAAGGGACAGATAATTCTGTCTTCTGTCCTGACAATTTCTGTTGTTCCTTAAGAAAAAAGAAGAATTATATAGGGGCTTGCTGAACAAACTATTTGTATTTCTATTAAATAGGTATTTGAAAAATGTTTATATATTTAGTGTGTTTGTTCTCTGAGTCTTTTTGGAAAGGTGTGCTTTTTTCTTTTTGAGTAAAGACTGCAACAGCAATTGCAGCATCTGCTATCCTTCCTCAACTACTGCAGTTGTGCTGCTAGCAGAGAAGGGGCATAATGAAATTTAGAAAAGCTATTTCAAGATCTGTTTCGGTACTGATGGTAAAAGCCTCTCCCCAGATTAGATGGTACTAGAAAATAGTAAGGCTTGAATGTACCTTTTGCTGGAAACAGTCCCAAAGTTAGTGTTTGATTTCAGGTATAAAAGTGTCTGTGCCTTGGCACTGTTGTCATTCTAACTTGGACTAACACCTGCAGTTGTAGCAAACTTGGACAAATAGGTTTTTACAGAGCAGCAAAAATAAGATTTTTATCCATGTGTTGTTCATAACTGCAGTCTGACAGTATCAGTAGCTGGACTAGACAGTATGGGTTCACCTAGCCCTGTCCAACAGTCACCATATGTTGAAGCCTAGGAAAGACTGAGCCCAACTTGTACTCTCCCAGTCTTTTTTTTTTTTTCTTTTTTCTTCATCTCAGAGGGTTTCCTGAGGCTGTTGTGGTTTGTCACTATTAGTATTTAACATATATGGGTTTAACTGTTTTCAGGCAGGTCTACAATAGAGACATCTGGTCCCTTTTAAGGCTCTGGAGAGTGCATCTTAGAAGCTGATGTTCATCTATTTGTCAGTATGACTGCACATCAAATCTTTGCAGATAATGGAAATTACTTCAGAGCTTTAGATACTGGATTATATTGTACAAATGAATGCATTAAAGGAGGAGTCAATCTCTATGGTGTTTAATTACATGACTACTAATATTCTGGTTTAGTTAACTCCATGTATCTGTAACATTTGTATTCTTACCTTTCTTTCTTATTCTGCTGGCATGATCCAGTGCAGCCTTCCTAAGTTTCTGAACATATCGTAAAACTCCTGTTAGTGGTATCCGTTGATCGTTTTCATATGCCGTGATAAAAACTGAAGGATAACACTGAGATTAAAAAACAAAACCAGTGACTTGACAACTGATTTTTTTCTCATCAAGTAACAAGTTTTTCTCTACTTATCTTACTGTACTACTTGTTATGATTTATCTAAAAACACTTCTATTACATAATTACCTGCTCTTAAAAAAGCACTGTTATCACTCTAACTGCAAAAAGTACTTTGGTCTGAAAAATTACTTCATATTAGCGGATCATCTACTTGCAAAAGGTAATAAAAAACATCCTCTTCCCACTGGTAAAGGTCTGCTACATGTCTGCTTGCTGATGATTGCAATTATAGGGGAGTAATAATAATTATGGAATGGTTCACCTTAGAACAGTAGCTGAGTTTACTTTTGCAATCTTTCTACACATAAAGAGCAGTTGTTTTTATATAGTAAGCTTTTACTTAATGAAGCTATGCAACACAGCTAACACACTACTTCAAATAAAGAGATTTCCTCTGAGATGACAATGTCAAAGCTATAGCTCTTTTTCCATTTCATTGTTTGCATCTGAGAAGGTATTTAATCAGTGGAAAATACCTCCTTCCTCCTTTGACAAAGTCTGCAAAACTCAGCAAAACAACAGAACCCCCCCACATAAGGGGAAGTTATTTCACCCGCTGAGGTTTGTTATACTATAGAATAATCTATTACTTCCTGACAGTCCTGTAACAAAACAAGTTTTTGAAATCTACTAATTATTTAGAAGGTGGCACTTGGTTCATTTCAGTAGTCACTTATGACTCCAAGTATTGCTAAGATTATTACTGAAATAGTTTGTATTTGCATTAATGATTCATTTTAACATAAAGCAGCAGCTAAGACAATTCTAAAATACTGGGTTTTAAAGCACTGAAAAGTTAAACAGACTTTTTTTTTAAATTCCAGGTATACATTTTTTGTTTTCTTATAAACTGATACACTTTATTACTGTAGTATGTCACACAGAAAGCATAGTTTTTACCTGTGGCTTAATATTCTGGTATGGACAATAGCTTTTGATATACTTCATACATTTTTCATCTGCTAATGGATTTCCCCATTCTTCCTGTTCTTCAATTGTCAGTGGGAGATGAGTTTTCATCATTGTATTTAGAACATCTACAAAAGGAGCCTTAGAAGTTATTAAAAAAAAAGTTGACAAATAGGAGAGAGGATCTCAAATGCCTAGGTCAAGGTTTTCTGAAATAAATGAGGAAAGTGAATTCTGAATTGGCATGTTTCCAATTCTGAAACTGGTAGAATGAAACAGAAAAGTTTAATGTCATAATCCATAAAAGGTTTGCAGCACCTCACCTGTAAAACCATGGCTCTGATAAGTTCTGGATCAGTGTTGCACAGCGCTCCTGCAAGAACTCCTCCCGCACTGGCAGCTGCTAGTGCTGTGTATTTTGGCTGAGAAAATCCTAGCTGATGCAGCAGCATGATGCAAGCCTTAAGGTCATGGAGGCCTTTGAGTTTATTATACTGACATCCATCTTTGTGCCAGCTAAGACCTAGCTCTCCTCCACCCCTGAAATTTAAAACAATTCAAGTTGGAATTCCTTTGGAGAATGTTAACACAGCCAAGTTTCAGATAATGAAAGGACAGCAGCAGCCACAGAATTGCAAAACCAGAGTTTGCCTTCCCAATTAACTCTTCTTCTATTACTGTCTTTACCCTTCTTTATGGCTAAAATACACAGCATGCAGACAAAAAAATCTGTGCATGATGATTGGTGAAAAGCTTAACTGCATAAGGGTGCTCCATGCCCTTGTGTTCTTTTGTCCTGGAACTCACAGGAAAAGCAGCACTTCAGGAAATGACACTATCATTGTAGCCAATACAAAATCAGACACTAATATTATCTTTTTATATAGGAAACTATTAAAATATCTAAAATATTTTCAATAATAATCTCACTAACAAACTAGCATTTATTGAAAACAGTAAAATAGTATTCTCGGCACCACACTGACACTCTCAGGATTTGTCTTCTGTGTAGCTTAAATTTTGAGACAGTTACAAAGTGGGTTTTTTTTTCTAGTTTGTGAATTTCAAATACTACTTGAAATGTTGTATTTTGTAATACAGAATTTTGAAATTTATTTGTATTCCTTTCTACACAAACACAATTTTGGTTCTAAGCCACCTGAAATTTCCTTATTCAGGTTTCAAGTTTAAAATTACCTAACTGATTAGTCTGCCAAAATCTTCATCTTTGGATGAAGAATCCATCTTCATCTAGGACTGACCTGCATCTTAAAATGTTTAGAGGGGTGGGAGGAAGAACAGCACAATGCTTGCCACTGAATATAGCAGACTGAATATATTTGTATGCTGAATTTGTTTTAGAACTGGTATTTCAAACAATTGCTCATTTTCCCCCTTCCTTACCCTCCCTAAAGTGATTCTTTTGTTATCTTCTTTACCTACTGAATTATTATATCAATGAAAATGTGAAGCCTATTGTACACAGTGGTTTGTAGCTAAACTGGAGACAGAGGATTTAGCCAATAAAAGAACAAGAGATGCAGGTTAAATGCTTAGTTGTTGCTGTAGAAGGCAAATTGCTTTCAGAAGATGCAGACTGAACATTAGTACACAATGCCCTCAAAGAGAGGGAGGTAGCATGTCATTGCAATTTGAACATGTTATCAAAATTTTTATTCAGCAAAGATGAGACAAGAAGTAATGAGATTTCAAAAGATTAGAAGTTACATACAACCATTCTGTTGATTTAAGAAACCTAAATACAGTATGTGGTCTTGAAAGTATGATTTTTTTTTCCCCTGAGGTAAATTTTTTTTTTTTGTTAAGAACTACTTTGAAAAAAATCTAAAGAGATGGAAGTGAAAAGCATGAAGAATTAGGTATAGCTACATGAAAAAAAATTATTTCTGTACTGCTTCAGTTGCATATCAAGAAATATCTGTATATCCCACAGATTAAAATCTTAATTCCGTTTTATATTTTGACTTACCGAACATGGCAATATGCTAATATCCAACCCTCTTCAATTAACATCAGCTTCTCTTCTTTAAAGCTCATGTTCAAATCTATGCCATAAGCTCCATATACATGAACTAGAAGTGGTTTCCTGTGTAGCTCTTTAGAATTCATGCTATGAAAAACTGTAATTGGCACCAAAGTTTCATCCTGGAAATGAAGGAGTATTTTACAATAAAGGACACTGCAGAAATCTCAATGACACATGGCAATGAAAACTTCAATTATTTATTTTAAAATGTGTTTTTTTGATTACAGTAATTTTTTTCACTTAGAATGTACAAAGCACTCTTGAAAAATAAAGCGAGAGCCTGAACCTCTGCTGTGGAGGCTTATGGATGTAGAGTATAAAATTCATTTAAGTGTAACACCTGAGTAGTTTTTAAACTACCAAAGCACCCAAGTCTTCCTTCCCTTTTTAACACCAAGAATATCTATTATTAACAAAATAGTTTACCACTTACTGCAGCAGAAACTCTTTATTAACATCTCGAATTTTTTTAAACTCAGGCTGTTAAAACTTTCCTTTCTTGATCTATACTGTGCAGCTGGTTGTGGGGTGTTCTTTTCAACAGCTGGCATCTCTTTCATTTATCATGGAGAGTATGATACCATACATCAACGAACATCTAAGTTATACTGTACTAAGATTCTCGACTCATCGTGTACTGTTATCGCCTCTAGAATACCCAGGTTAACGGAAAAAAAAAATCTTATCACGATTCCTTCTTGTTCTTTTCTATAGCACTGAAGAAAACACCCACTGTTTAGTAACTATAGTACCAACTGCTCTTTTCATTTTTTTTTTAATCTCTATTTGCTGCCAAATGCATTTTCTTTGAATGGGTGGGGAGGAAGGGAAGAATAAAGGGAATGGGAAAAGGACTGAAAAATCTTACCTTGCTTTTAGCTAGTAAACGTGTAGTGTGACAATTCGTAATAATTGGTACCTCTTGCACAGCTTGTTCAATGAGATTATTTTCTTTAAATGAATATGCAAAACACTTAGGGGGGTGTACTGGGGAGGTGAGCTGAAAATAGCAAGTGCTGGTGGTATGTTCAGGGTGAGATTCCAATTCAAATTCACAGGCCCACGTAGGTAGCTGAGAAAACATGGCATTTCAGGTGAGACCCTTACACTGCTTCTGTAAATTTTGCCTAGTGTGTCCTTCAGAGGAAAAAATTTTTTAATATCAAGTCACTTATCTTCAGTTTGTCTGTAGCACAATCTGTATTTCTTTTAAATTCAGTAATGAAACAGAGAAAAAGTTAAAGACATAGGGGAAAGGTTGCCAAAGGCTACTGGATCAAGTTCAACAATGACATAAAAAAGAAAAATAAATCCAAATTCAGTTTAAAATGGGCATTACTGTAGATTTTTTTAAAAATTAAAACTTTCTTTGAAATCATTCTGCATTGTTTTTATTTTTTAGATCCTATTTCCCTTCCGATTTCCAGTCCTACTTCAACATGTTATACAGCCAAGTCTATCTCAGTTGTTATGCTTTTGCTGTGAGTTAGCTCCAGTAATGCTAAGCCACTGACAACCCCTGCCTCTTGACTTTGTTCCTAGTGCCAGCCATTGTGAAGAACAAAGCCTTTTCCTGGCACATTCACCCTCACTTACTGCTATTATATTTAAGATTTTTAACTCTGCTAAGAATAAAAGAAATCAAGATTCATTCTTTGAGAGCAGCAGGGACATAGTCAAACCCTCTGCCAGGCCACTACTTACTTGGGTTAGGTTGCTAGAGACTTCTAAAATGGCAGCAAAAGTCCAAGTTCTCCAAAGTAACTGCAGACCCTTTCTGAATAAACAAACTGTAACCATTTTCAAAAATGAAGATTTCAGAGACCATACAGTGTACTTTGTTGAAAACCTTTTTCTGTAGCAGTTTTATAGAATGCAGCATTGGTAACTTGTTGCAATACACTTGTGAGTAGTTCAGATGATTGTATTTTTCATGCAAACAAATCAATTAAATACTTTGTCTGAATGGTCTCTGGAAATCATGGTTTTGAACTGAGTCACTTTTTGTTTTTAATCCACAAGTATTTAGCAACAACTAGAGAAGGGAAGAAATATTTTGCACAAATTGTACTGCACTATCAACTCTTCCCATTTTTATGAGACAGTGTCTATACTTGTCTTCTGAATGTTCTAATTTTCTTCTGTGGCAGGGCCAGGCTTATTTCCTTGCTTACATGGGTAAGTGTAACCAAAAATAGGCCCAGTAAAACTCAGTAGAGTGTTTAGGGAATCAAGTCCTATTTTACTTAATCAGCTGTATTGTAAAGATCTTGACTGTAGTAAGTTGAAGAAAGAACTGACTCATAGGATAACTGCTCTCTAAGTGCTGTAATAAGCCACCACATGAAATACAATTAGTCACAATGATGAACTTGACAGTATTATAGTTTCCAAACCACTTCTACTCTTGGAATTAATCTTTGCTTTCACTATAATGTTATGTTAAAAAAAAAAAAATTAAATAGTGTTGGAAAAATATGAAGCTGCTTAAGCCAAGCTAAAACATACCTCTATTGACTGAACTAAATGTGAAACAAAAGAAATCACATTTAAGTAAAGATGACCAGCATTCTTCAGGAACATAACACAGTGATCACTAAACATCTCCAAGTCTACTAGCTTGGTTTTCTTTTCCAGTGCATAAACTAACTGCCAGTTCTCCATGCCACTGGAAGCCACTGGTGCCTTCATCAGCTATAAAAACAAAAACCAACCTTGCATTACTAAAATGTAGTAAGAGTTACAAATGAGATGTACAGACACATAGGTGATCTCATGCAATGTTTTTACTGCAAAAAATTATTAGTTTGTATTGGGGCGTTTTGCCTGACTAAAACTGGAGGTTTTTAAACTCCCTTTACTTGGGCAAAATGGAAAAACAATTCAGTAACATTTAGAAGAGTAAGTTCAATTCTCATAGATTAATCTATAGAAGATTATCATGCAATAAGTGCTTTCAGTGTGGCCAGCAGAACTGTAGGTGGTTTGGTTATATAGGCTGAGATCACCAACTTAAATCTTAATATAGGGGAAATGACTGTTAAAAGCATATTCATTTCTTGATGTTGCCAAAGGAGTTAGAATCAAACTGGCATGCTACACGTGAGACTCCATGTACTACTATCAGTCTTTCAATCCATACAGCTCTGTGTAAGTCTCTTAAATTATTTCAGTAAGGCGTGAAGCACAGAATTACAAGCCAGCCTTACTATTTCTATATGATCTGCAACAGGTATCTGAATGAATCCTCTGAATCTTATTATCAGTTAAAATTACCTTATATTCTGCAAGTTCTCCGTATGTAGTAAGGATATATAACTCATCATTTCTGTGCTCAATATGGTAAATGACTCCTTTTGTTCGTGCTTGTACAAGAGCAGGTAACTTAAAAGGATGTCTACAGTCAATCAGCCAAACTTCCGACGTTGTCTTGCTGTTGCTGTTGATAGTGAGAAAACGTCTATCTTTTGTGCAATATATGTCCACAAAGAATCTGTAAGGAATAATTTAAAAAAAAAAAAAAAGCTTAAACTTGATTAGTATTTTAAGAATACAGGTTGTTTCAGAATCATGGGCTTACATCTGCAAGGTAAGAAACAGCATGCCTGTAAGTAGGCTAGAGAAATTCCAGACTACTTGGTTCCCAAACCCACTCCTGCTGCATTTATCCTGGGATTCAAAAACCAGGATCTTGTGTGCAGAACCTGAAATATGAAAGGAAAGCAGTTCATTTGTTGCCCAAATGAATACAGGTTTTTGCATCACTGAGATAGACTGGATGCTCACGGATGTATACAGGCTTTAAAATTCAGGCAAAACTTAGAGCCTCTTATTGAGCTCATAACCCTATTTTAAAAAAAAGTAATAATGGATAATTAAATTAAAATTAATGAAGGACATCACGTGGGAACAGCAGTAACAAAGAAAAGCAAGAGCTATTTTAAAGATAAACTGATAAAAAGCCCAAGTGTTACTGACCTAACTTGGTCTGAAGCAAGTAAGACAAAAAGACTACTTTTAAAAAAAGTACAGAAGCCTATATGCGACAAGACGGACAGTGTTGCAGTGATAAAGCTGGAAACTAGGAACTGGTTTTGGAACTATCTAAGAAACTAGGAACTATCTACTGGTTTTAAATGCTTCTAAAATCTAGAAACAGAAAACAGAATGATAGCCAGTGGCTGGATGCTAATATTAGACAAGTTCAGGCTGAAATTCAGATTCAGATTTCTGAGTCATCCTAATTAACTGGAATGTCATGTCTTGGGACATAGCAGTTTCTTTGCCATTTTGAATCTTTAAGACTGGATGTCTCTAAAAGCAAAACTGTCCAACACAAAGAACCAGAAGATTTCATCAAGAAATTGCAGGGTGGAGTACCATAATCTACATTATACAGATCAGATATATGACTGCAATAATGATCCCTCTAGACTTCAAAATATTTGACTGGTGAAGGGAAGGATGCTTTAGATAGCATTTTAAGTGCCTTTAATTATTTGCAGGTAGAGCAACTCCAATGTTTTTGGTACTATTGTTTTTTCTAATTGCACCCTCTTGACATTGGTAGGGCAGGCACAGCAGGGGATCTAAAGTCTGCAAGGCATCAGCCTCCTGCCTCTCTAATACACGTGAATTTGGTAAAAGTGTGGCAGTGCATTCAGTAGAGATTCCAACAGTTCAGCTCTGCTGACCTTACCTCTAAAAGAGTCAAGCTGAAATGCAGGTTATGCTTCTCCCCAAGGACTCTGACCCTGATATTACAAATTTTTTTTGTCTTTGTAGCTTTTTTTTTTAAGGAAGTCAAGAAATATTCATCTTCTAAAAAAAGAATATTTGATTGCACCTAAAATGAGCTGGTGAAATGTAGAACAGAACTGCTCAATGGCAATACAAAAGAATGTCTTGCCATCTCCGATGAACAAGTGAGTTCATTTATGAGCTACAATAGCACATGAACCTTTAGAGTAAGTTTCTAGTAGATTTACTGTAATGACTATGACCTTCAGAATTATGCCAACAGTTTCCCTGTGGGGAAGTGTCAGGTCAGTGCAACTTGATTTTCCAAAATTATGCATCAAATGCAACTGGAACAAACGGATCTTATTTGTTCCATCTCAACTGCAGATTTTTTCCTGTTTTTATTAAGATTGAAGTATAATTGAAATTTCTTTACTGAATATGTAACTCAAATTAAGAATAATCACAAACGTTTATGGAATGCTGTATGAATCTACCACATGCTACACGGCTGAAAAACTAGTTCTGCACTCAATTTAGCAAGAGCCTTCTCGTCTTCCTAAACCACTGCTTAAAGAAAGGTTATTGAGAGGGTATTCAGTCAACAACAGTTCTATCTCTGGGAATGCTGTAATGATTTTGCTCATCCATTACCCAGAGCAAGAATTAGCCTGAACTTCTATGTTTTTTAAAAGATGTATCAGACATCAATAGCAGAGAAAACAAAATGAAATCCACAGTCTGATTTACCCTATATGACACTGTCACACATTCATTAAAGGACACCCTGACCTGAGACTGACCTTGACATTTATAAACTCAGCTGAACTCGTGAGGTAAGAGAGGAAGTTAAATCTCTGTTGATCACATATCAAGAGGAGAACAGAGCACATTCTCAGACTGCATAAGGCACTACTGACAGCAGAACACAACTTAAAATTGGCTTTTACCATTTTGAATATGATATAGAAGAATTTGTTTTCCAAACCAGTTATATTTTACATATAAAATACTCTAGAATACGTAAAGGACTTGTTATATTTTAGGTAAGTATTACCTTGCATCTTGTTCTGTATAAACTAACTTAGTATGTTTCTGATCAGTGAAAGTTGTCATAAACACATTCTGGCATTTAAGGTTCTTCTGACTTGTGTAATACAGAACATCATTTGTAGCCCATTCTGGAAAAAAGACAAATGCATATCAAATTTGGAACAGTGTATACTATTACTGGTAGAAAATGGAGCTCCATGAACACTGGACCCAACGCTGAAAAAGGTGGGTTGGAGCTGACGTGGAACTGAGGACAGCGCTTCTACATCCCAGAGGCCAGGGTAAGCCACAAAAAAAATTTTCCATGTTTTCTCAGAATCCCACAGAACAAGAATCTCATAATATATTTAAAAAAAAAAAAAAAAAAGGGCAGAGGACAACATTCTAGGGCCCAGGAAGAAGAAGCTCTTGACCCTGTGGGGGTTCTGGAGGTAACAGGAAAACACAGGAAGTTTGGCTGTATAAAACTTAGCAGAGAAACAGAGGTTTAGATGGAGTCAGCGAGGTCATAGAGTATGAGCACTGCACCACTACATGTGACTGCATGCAAACCATTTAGAGAAAAGAGATGATGCATGTGCCCCATGGGTACTGCTGAGATAAAAATTCTCCAGTTTTCTATGCTTGTATTTGTGTTCACCAACATTAGAAATGTGTAAATACAGGAACCTTGCTATTCTGAAGTTTAGTAATCTGACTGATCCAGCCAAATTACTGCTGTCTCTTCTGCTCCTATAGCCACCAGAATAATGTTTAATACATATGATATTAAAAAGTTACTGTATGCTGTCTTATGCATAAATACTAATTTCCAGTATAAAACCCAAGGAAGTACCACACTGAAGTAATGCAAATAATTTGCTATCTGAACAGCAATGTGGCTCCAAAATGCACAGGTACCTGGGGGTTCACTATGAAGAAAAGCCTTTAGAAGGCAAATCCAAGTTCTTCTATAGCCTAGCATTTAAAAAAACCACAGATGTAAATTTTCAAGAACTTCCATTTGTCTGTCTACTATTGTGTATCATGCAGTACAAGCATATGCTTTGCAAGTGGTCATAAGACCTAACTGCTCATTATTGAGGTACCTCTGTACTTCATGATACCTCTGTACCTCACTTACAGCTGAGTAAGTTTGCAAAATGGCTATAACCTCTACCATTCTGATAGTAATTTTTTGTACTCTTATTATCTACCATAATCTGTTACACCTATGTAGGCAACACGGAGTTGGTTTCTTAAAGGTACTGATTCTTCCAGACAAACCTAGATAGATGTTCAAATCAAATATAGTTAAAAATGTCACTGGCAACTTTGAAGGCCTAGTTTTCAACAGGCATTACAAACTTCAATTGTGCAAACACAACATTAAATTCTTGCTACTCTTCATTTTTCTAACTAGGAATTTTTACCTAAAGTTTTAATTTTTTGCCCCGCCCAGGCAAATTGCTTACTGCACTATAGATACTTGATGACATCTAACAATATAATCGAACATATAAGATGTGGAACGTTGTATACATGCTATTGTGCTCTTTTTTTCTATATTCTTTAACATACTCTTAAAAAAGAAAGATTTCCCATTCACTTCAGTTTACCTCTGCTTATTTTAACAACAATGTAAAGCTCTGTAATCTATTCTGGAAGAACTGACTCAAGGCCTGACTGGGTTCTGAATTGTGATGCACATCCTGGAGCCCAGTTGAAATTCCAGCCAATACTTAACAGTAGGTAGCACTTGCACACTTTTCAGTGAAGCTAAGTGCCTACAGCTATCAGTGACTTCAGTTGTAGCTGTAAGGGTTTAATAACTAGAACATTTCTCAAAAAGATCTTTATATTGCAAACAATTACATCAGTAAATTTTTAAAGAAGCATATTGAATTCAACAAAAAGAATGATATGCATGACTATTCAAACATGTATAAATGCTTGCTTTTACAATGAAGGAAAACTTGTATCATGAAAGCAGTCACTTTCATCCACATCAGATAACTTGTTGTGCAGTGTGAAAGAAATTGTAAATAAGAAACAATTCAACAAATATAAAAATGTTGCTTCATTATTTTATTTGTAGACTAGCAAAAATGTTGTGTTGAAAGCTGGTATGATCCACAGGACATTTATAAACAACTTACCAAAACTGAATACACTTGGAATTACTTTTTCTATGACAGGAGAATGATCAAGTTTCATAATAACGCAGGTTGCCTCTTCAGAATTTTCACTTTTTAAGCTGATGGCCATGTATCTCTGATCTGGTGAAATTCTGATCCGTTGAATAAAGGCATCAGAAAAGCCAAGATCTTTGGTACTGAATAAAACGTCAACATTTCCTTCATCTACTACATAAAAAAGAGACAGCAAAAAAAATCCTGTAATTAAGGCAACGTCAAAATGAATGTGGTTGTTAATGCCTGTATTTAACAAGTCTGCCTGCAATATTTGCAAGCATACTACTACAATTTATTAACACTAAATATTTGTCTTGCAAGATATTTGCAAATGCAGTTCGTAAAAATCAACAAAAAAATTACAGTTCCAGGAAAAAAAATAAGTCTTGTAGTTATTGTTAAAAATATTTTAAAAGTGTAGATCTTGGCTTCTAGTAAATGTATTAAGTTTTTAAGTTCAGATACCTAAAGCACAGTTGTTTTTACTAAATACAATTAGTAATATTTTTTTTCAACCCCCTCAAATAAAAAAGCATGAATGTGCTTTTCCTTTTTCAAAATGTTAGCTTAGCACTCTGAAAAGAAGGTACCTCCCTCTTTCCCCTCCAGCAACTTGCCTTAGTATCAATATATACTATTCTCTAACTCTCTTCACCTCACCTTTTCAGATTCAGGATTCTAGAATTATTAATCAATCATTAAATAATTTTATAAAAGTATTTTATTTTAAGAAACAGAGCAAATAAGCTTTAATGTAAGAAAAGTACACTAAGTGATAAATGTACAACATTTTCAACAATCGTACCATGGTAGGAAGAGAAATCCCTTACCATCATCTGCTTTTGAAAGAAATATGCAGCCATTCTCTTCAAAGTACACATTCTCTCCAAACCTGATCTGTTCAATACAAAACAAACATGTTTTAAGTCCAACATACAGTGAGGCTATTTCCTTAGAATCCCTATATTCAATCATTGTTCTGTACAACACAATTGTAACATACACAAATGACAGAATATAGCACATGTATTTGATACTGAAGAAGGAATTGCATGCATCAGAAAGGTTCTTTCAAAGTTAGGGTACCTAAGCTACCTCTACCTGCTCTAAATTTAACAAAAGGCTCAGATCACCTCCAATTGCTCTTGTAACTTACGATGTCTTGTATTCTTTATCCAAAAGTCAGATGATTATTGTATCTTTACTTGTTTTTGCCTATGGAGTAATTAAGGTAAATACGCTATCGTAACAGGTATAAGCTGTTCTAAACACATGCTGTTACTATCCACAATTATTAAAATACTCAAAACTCAAAACCCCCACCATAAATTAATCAGTAAAACAGCATTTTATAGCAGGAATGGCTTTACTGCCTTTTATCTCATCACTATACTCAGTGATGAGAAATGTTTGTATTTTTTGCCACTTACCCTTGGGCTTACTGAATTGAATGTATACTTGTTGTGCAATTCTTCTAATTTTTCCTTGATTCTTTCTGTCATGGCTTTGTATCTTGCTGAAATGTCATTCCAGTTTTCCTGCTCTGATTTTAGAAGATTCTTGTACAAAAGCTCTGATGTTATTATGGATGTATTTTGCTTCCTTTTGGAAGGGATTTTTGTTCCTTCCTGCTGAGTAAGGGAAGACAACAGTGGCTGTAAGTCAGCACTCTGTACTCCAATATGAATATATTGAGGCAATAATGACATTTCCTGAGCTATAGACCCAAAACCAACTTTGCATTATTACAATAGTATGTGCCATTAAAAAGAAAAACCACAATTGGGACAAGTTTTTTCTTTTCAATTCTTCGTGATGTTTTAAGGAGACATTGACAAATGTGTTATACTTGACACACTTATTGAGGTCTTCTCTTAAAAATTTAGGGTACTATTAATGTATGCTCTTAATTGATTATATGTAAATATGTTTGTTCTTGCTCTGGAACTAGTTTTTAATTAATTTTTATGGAATTCTGTTATTTTTCCTTCTTCAGAGGTGTTCTTTCATAATTTTCCTGTCTTAGGAGTATCGTTTCTCTTTCCTTTCTGTCGTGGTTTAACCCCAGCCAGCAACTAAGCACCACGCAGCCGCTCGCTCACTCCCCCCCATCCAGTGGGATGGGGGAGAAAATCGGGAAAAGAAGTAAAACTCGTGGGTTGAGATAAGAACGGTTTAATAGAACAGAAGAAACTAATAATGATAATACTAATAAAATGACAACAGTAGTAATAAAAGGATTGGAATGTACCAATGATGTGCAGGGCAATTGCTCACCACCTGCCGACCAACACCCAGTTAGTCCCCTAGCGGCGATTCCCCGCCCCCACTCCCCCCAGTTCCCATACTAGACGTGACGTCCCACGGTATGGAATACCCTGTTGGCCACTTTGGGTCAGCTGCCCTGGCTGTGTCCCCTCCCAACTTCTTTTGCCCCTCCAGCCTTCTTGCTGGCTGGACATGAGAAGCTGAAAAATCCTTGACTTTAGTCTAAACACTACTGAGCAACAACTGAAAACATCAGTGTTATCAACATTCTTCACGTACTGAACTCAAAACATAGCACTGTACCAGCTACGAGGAAGACAATTAACTCTATCCTAGCTGAAACCAGAACACTTTCCTAGACAACAATGCTGCCCACACTTATGTCCCTGTGCCTAGAAGTCCTAGCAGCTTGTTCAGGTTCTTGTTCCACCTCCTCAAAAGCGTTAGTATAAATGTTCATAACGTGCAGAATGAAGTGAAGCTGTGAACTGATAGGGGTTCTGCAACAATTTTATCAGGAATAAGCTTAGGGATCTGGTTTTCCACAACCCATGAGCAGACTACTGCTACCTCATTGTCAACAAAGCTGTCTTCTCTTGTAAAAATGTTAAAAGTGTTAAAATTTCTAGAACAATACTACTTCTTTTTGCTTATTGTAAAATCTCATTTGATCTAATAAGCTTAACATATATTACAGTACATAACACTGCACAGATCACACAAAGTAGCATTATAACATTCAGTGTATTAAGTGAATGTGTCTAAACTTAAAAAGCAGCATATACTTTTTACCCCGTCCTCACTTTGCATCAAGAATGGCTGGTTTGTTCCTAGTTTGTCTTCACACATGCATAGACTAAAAGGAAGAGAAACTATTTGCTTCAGTTACCAACCTCCCTATGAATATAAACCACATCATTCATGAGAGCATATGAGTGTTCATTGCTGGTTCAGACCAATGGTCTCTCTAGCCTAGTATATCAAATCAGAAGCACAAGTCAAAGAAACCATGAAAGCCCTTAGAGAAGCTCTGGAGCAACTGTGCAATTGGTCAAGGTGAAGAAATTACAGGATGTGTTAGTTGTACCACCCTCTCCCCAGTCACTGGAAAAACTGCTGTAGGAAAACACCATTCCCCAAACCAGAAGCAACCAAAGAAAAACCCCACAGTGGCCACAACTGGATACTTAGGAAAGCATAAGAATTGGACACAGATTATATTCCCCAACAAGTATTCCCCCAGCTTTCCAATGATTTTAGCTCAGGAATTTCCTGAACTGAATGTGGTTTCTGGATATTTAAAAAGTCTTTTTCATGTACATGTATCATCTCCCCTTATACCTATGTAAAATTTTAGCAACCACAAGTTATTCTGGCAAGTTCCACACTTTATGAATCTTTTGATGACTCCCCTCTTGTTTTCAACAGTTCCCATTATATTTATTTGGAAATATTATACAGAGCTGGTGGCCACAGTGTGGATATATATTAGTTACCTGTACACCTCCCTGCCTGCGGAAAAAACAGTCATCTAGAAGAGCATCTAGAAAGATTTTGAGGATAGCAGAGGAACTTGGTGACAATCAGTTTGCAAACATCTGCTCCAAAGCAAACAGGCACAGCTTCCTTTCAGGTGAAAACCACCTGTTTGTACTGTGGAACCAGTGTCTTAGAGCAGCGTGTTGTGTTAGTGAACTACCAATGAATAAACAGAACCACACATTCTCATCCATCAAGACTTCATATGTTCTCCTTGAAATATTTGCTTATACTTCAGACACAGACTTAGGACCTGTTTACATTATGGTTACAAATAACAGGGTTACAACAAGATGATCTTTGGGTTACCATTTAAGAAACACTGTCAACTTGAAACAATTTTAGAACACCATGCATCCATCTGAAAACATGTTTACTGTAAAATAAACTAAACCACCAATCTTTTTAAACGGTACTTATGCATTATACATATAAATCAGTTTACAGGCTGTCATACTGCAGTAAACTTTTATAATACCTTTAGCAAACTCTGTATTAGAAACACAGGAACAGAAAACCTGAAATTATTTCATACAATTTTCTGACTCTGTGGATGATACATTACCACCCATTTACACAATATTTACTTACAGAAGTAAATCCAAGTACCTTTTAAAGTATAGTTTATGACATGTGAATATAATTATGAGAAGTCAATAGAATAACATTTAATATGGTGCAAACCATGACTTACTGGTCAGCACCAAAAAAGATGAGGTTTTTTGAGCCAGCTCATGGTGGTTAAGTCTGCTATCATCAGTTTGGACACTTTGCCTCTACACTAGCTGATCTCTCCCTGCAGTCTTCTCCTGACACTTTATCTGAATCTTTCTGGAAGATACCAATTTTTAAGAAACTGCTACAGCAGGAAAATCAACCAAAATGCAGCTTTATATCAAAAAAGTATAGGGAAGTTGAACAACAGTGTAAGTCTCTGAATATAACTGAAATACTAATATTTATCCCTCTGCTTCAGACCCTTTAGGAAAAATGTGTTTCTTGACATTTGAAAAATATGGCTGGTTTCCTTAACACATGTGCCAAGGTAGTTGTTGACATTAAGTCTATACTTAAAGAGCGTACCTTGCAGGAAAATAATCTCCATGGCAGGATGCTTCCAGTTGGCAGAGTCTTATGTGTGCATGTGCTTCCTGAACAGTCCAGGATGTGGCATTTTTTTTGTTGTGTTTTACTATAAAGACATATTGTTTGAAGATGGTTATGCTTAGAGTAGTATTTGACACTGAAGCTCAGCCCTTGGAGAAGATTTCGCAGTCCAACACATGACATCCTAACGTTCATTTCTTGATAGTCAACCTGAAATTCCTGAAAATCCCAAACTGCTGATCATTTACACTGTGTATGTGAAATATACGTAACATAAACTGCAGGCAAAACTTCCTCTCTTTCATAGAAATGAGATTGATTCATTAGGTAAATCAGATGAGAATAAACAGTAAAACTAAAGCTGTTTCTTAACAACTGGTACACACAGCTTAGCTTGCATATTAACCTGCTGTTACTCCAAACCGTGATTCCTGGCGGTTGAAAGTTTAACTCTAGTGAAATTATCAATGAAGAGAAAGGAAGGTGCAACTGTGCATGTTTAAACGTTGAAGAACCAAAAACCGGGAAGATGTCGGGAAGTTCCCCACCCCCGCCCCCCCCCAAGTATCGTACAACAATCAAGTCACTTTACCTCAAGAGGATGACTTGACAACAAGAGGTGAATGCCCCTCGCCGGAAAACTGACGGGTTTGCAGCTCTGCGGGAGGAAAGGCCCCACGCGTTTCCCCGCCCGCGGTCCCGTTCGCCCGTCCCACCCGGTCGAGGGCCAGAGAAGCCGGCCCAGCCTCGCTCCCCGCCAGCCCCTCACCGCCGCGGCAGGGCCGTGCCAACGCCGGGCAATGCCCGCGGCCCGCGCAAGGACTCGCCGTCGCAGACGGGGCTGGACCCGCTCTCCCTCCGGTGGGGCTGCCCCGGTAAGATGGCAGGCGACTGGGAGCAGCTCCCGGCTCCCTCGCGGGACTGCCCGTAGCCAAGATGGCGGCAGGGCGCTTCAGCCAGCCGCACCGGGCAAGCACCGCTGATGTCAGCGAGGGCGCGCGGAGCTGCGACGGACGGGCGGGCGGACGAGCGAGCACAGTCCCTGCCGCGGCTTCCTCAAGTCACTCTCATTTCACCCCCCCAACCGCAGAGGCCGCAGGCAACCCGTTTTGAGGCGCACTCCCGCCCCTCCGGGGCGCCTTAGGAGCCGGGCGTAGGGCGGCGGCAGCCTCTCTTCTCAGCGCTGCCCTTAATAAAGATGGCCATCCACTTCTTCAAGCCCTAGCCCGGCCGGTCCCGGCAGCCGCTGGAGCCTCGGTGGCAAGTCCTCGCCGGCCAGGCCGGGG